CCTTCCGTTATATAGTCATATTCTTCTTCTAGTGATTTTCTTTTGCCTTCAAGCCTATCCAACAACTGTTCCGATGGATCCGAATTATATTCCAATTCCAAGGCTAGTATTTCAACATTTAGTTTCTGAATCTTCTTTCTTTTTTCTGCAGCTCTTTTCTTTGAATAGGTAATTGTAAGACCCCTTATACGAAATTTCATTAAATCCCAAATTAGAAGGGGATTTCTCAGATTGTTATATTTTTGTAACCAATAGTTTGGAAAATAGTTTGGTCCGAGTGTAAAGTCTGTTTACACCCACCCGACAACCAACTGCTACGCCATACTACTGTCGGATTATCAATTTGTATTTAATGGTGAATGTAGTCTGACGCCATGGTCAATATTTATCAATTAAGTTTCAGTGGGGGGTAGGGGGGGTTGGGAAAAAACTAAAGGAATTAAGTTTTTTATCCTACATTGAACTTTTGATGTTGTCCCTAAGTTCACACAGTACTCACCGGCTGATAGGAAAACCGTAACCATTAGAAGACCAAGCACAAATCGCGTGGACATTTTGTGCGATTGGTTGACAATCTAGACTCACGTGAACTGTGTATTGCAATACGAAAATAACGCAACAAACTAAACCACGCCCCCGTGTCAATGATTGGACAACGTCATTTTGCACGTGAATCTGAATCATGCTTGGAGCGAGCGGCCTCTGCATGTGGTAAAGTGATGAAAGCGTAATATGACAGAACCCCATACCCTCCTCGTGGCTTTCGTTGCGTATGGAAGTTATTTTCACGAGTGATGCGGTGTATCCTGCGGCCGTACTTTCACGAGCGAAGCGAAGTACTGCTTTCGTATTACTTTTCGATGTAATTGTGCAAACTTTGGATTTTACAATATGTATGAGTCAATATCTCTGTTCAAACATCACTACAAAAGTGATTGTCCTGTTGCATGGCGGTTGACAATTAAACTACGTAAGGCTAACTTTGAAGTTTACAACCCTATATACGTTTTATAACAATGTACAGAGTGTTTTTATCGCAAATCCAAAAGTAAACAAAGCCAAAGAATGCAATAATTTTCGAACAATTTTCCTCATCAGCCATGCATCAAAAATTCTGGTTTATGTAATAAAAATCGAATTGCACCTACAGTCGAAGCCAGATTTAGTGAAAATCAGTTAGGAATAAAGAAAGATCTTTTTATACTAAGATCAATTAGAGAAAGAATGATGAAAAAAATGTATCTATGCGTTATCGACTATACACCTGATAATTTGATAGAATCAATGACAAGAAATTACTGTGGGTCTGTGGAAGCCACTCAGTTCATGAAGCACGATTAATTGCAAATCTGTATTGGAACCAAGATGCGGTAATAAGAACAAGAAGTGGTGATATGAAAATCAGAATCGAAAGAGGGGTAACTTATACAGTAAATTCTTAATCCAAGAGGCATTATATTTTTTTTAGTTCTAGGGGTGTATATCTTAGGGCGATTTTGGTTCTAGGGGCGATTTATGTCAAAACCACGAACCAAGCAACGTAAAGACTTCCTGTGTTAAACTCCACCCCATTTCCGCCACAGAACGATGGTTCCAGAAGTGTTAATAAAACACAATTTCATAATTTTTCTACGATTTATGTTAAAATAAAAGCAAAAAAAGGGCAATCATAATAAACAAAATAACTTTTTAGGGAGTTTGGACATTCGTCAAAGTAAATGGAACTGAATTTATTTCAATTTTGAATAAGGTAGATATTTCGTGTCTGCAGGAAACGTGGTAAGCAGTCTAAGAAGTAATCAGACGTAGTTGATTGTGACAGTCGTAATTATTATAATTCTGATAGGAAGAGAAAATCTATCAAAAGTAGATTGGTTAGCAATTTTATTTAAAAGATATATTAAAACAAGTTTTGTGTCAACGGGGATTTTTTGTTGGTGTAAAAGTTTCCTCCCAATGAAAAAACAAATATTTTAGGTTGTATAAACATACCGCTGAAAACTTTCTCTTTTCAAATTCGGAGTTGTGTATTGCAAAATCACAGACTTCTATTTATCTAGGTGAAGTCATTATAAGAGGCGATTTTAACAACAGAACGGGAAAATTACGTCACTATACTGCAATTGATAATAGTATGTATATTCCAGTTTTGTCAGGAGACATTCCCAAGACACAATCTAATTGAAATAAGATTTTAGTTTAGTCTTTATTTTTTATTTTCACTCATTTTTTAAATGTTTTTAATCATTTATTTTAATCATACACTTTCTTTTACTTACTTTATTTTTTAATTGATTGTTTATTTGATGGCAGTTTGGTTGGTAATGGTGATAGTTAAAGCGGGGGAGTCGTCACCTGCGCATGCGTCAGATGGCCATAGCGTGTCATTGTTTACAAACAAGCGTCCACCCGTGTGTTGTTATCATCGCTTGGGACTAAATTCCCGCTCGTGCGCAGGTGATGACGCTTCCGCTTTAATGTAATACAAAATAATATGGACGCAATAATAATAAAAACAAAATAATAAAAAGACGCCGTACAATACATCAGATTGTAATCAGATTGACTCATTAAGACTATTTCTAACAAACCTAAAAAAGCAGTTAGTAGATTAATTTAATGATGATGAGTGACCTGATTGTCAATTACACATGCCAATGAATATCCGACTCAAGTATCGTAAAAAAGAATTATATACTAACATAACTTCATTTAAATTCATGACATTCACTACTTGTCAGATCAATACATTTTAACAAAATTATGAACATTCCGATGACATAGATATGAAGCTACAGATCAACTTAACGATTTACTAATTCTAGCTGCTGATAGTTGCCTTGAAAGGCGTCAAGTAGGAATGTAAACTAAAACAGGAGGACAAACATGTCCTACAACTCTGGTTTGATAAACTATGTTATGAAATCAAAAGTTAACCATTCATCTTTCTTAAAACATTATCAAAACAACTTTTTTTGTTCAGCAAAGATATTATGTAATCAAAAAAATATATAAGAAGGCAATTAAAAATAAAAAAGAACATTTATTGGGAAACTAGCTTTTGAACCAAATTCATGGAATATAATATTCAATTTAGTGTCTTGTGGTAAAACCAATTAGGTCTCACAGACGTGTGATCGAAAAAAAAACAATCCGTGCAGGCTGTTGGGTTTATACCTCGTAACGTGAATTCAGAAATACAAGTAACAAAATCATGATGGATAATGAATAATTTACTGAAAGCTACCTTGACAAATTTCACCATCTGGCGAACACAACATTATAAGTTTGATTATTACAATTGTGAGATGGAAGATGTTAGAAAAACGTAATGTAATAATGTAATAGTCTTTATTGAAGTCGTATCCTAAAAATGGACATAGATCTAAGTACAATAAAGCATGGTTGTCATTCCATGTCAGAAACGTATCAAATTAGTTGTTCTCTTTGAATTTATCAATATGTTAGGACGATGTTAGTATGTTTCGTTTTTGATTTCTTCAATCAAATATATGTTGAAATTTGTGTGCAGATGTGTTTGCCTCTCGAGGTGTATAAAGGTCAACTCATTGTCGCCGTCTTGCTCTACGTGCATAGTGAGAGTAATTGCTTGTAACAATCACCCTGAACTTGTCAAGAAATAAAATCTCATTTGCTTTATTCTTAAATCAGTCTGTCTTTTCCCCGGAGACAGAATACCACAAAGGATATTGCCAAATTAGCGTTAGTGACGCGAAATGTGCAAATCTAACGTTGGTGGCGCCAGCCACCGTATTTGTGAAGATCAATAATTCCAGTAAGATGGGAAATGAATACACATTAATCTCTTTGTCTTGATTAGGTTGAATATGCCAATGTAAACTTAAACATGAAATATCTTCCATTTTGGTCTTTATTGACAGGTACATTTGACCAAATCAGTGCCAACTGGGCCGGGTCACTGGCCATATTGGATTTCCCCAATAGTAGTCAATATGAGAACAGGGAGCCCAGGAACTATGATCAACTGTACGCAGTCTCTATGAGCAGGGGGGTATCGGCTGGTATCTAGTGTAAGAAATATACAAGGAATGAAGGCTCCAGCCAGCTCACATTTTGTAAACTCGAAAAAAACAGTCAAACAGAATGAAAAATAAAATTTCAAAAAAATTGGAGAATATTGGTTGCTCTTTCAAATTTTGCCCACCACCATTGATGTAAGTGCGTCCCTTATTCGCGTGAACCACCCAGAAGTTTTTTGGGCATGCGCTGTGGCATAGTCGTGGCGATCACTCATTGGTCTGTATTTTTCAAGATGGCTGCCCCCAGTACTATACCAGTTCGTCTCGGCTGCCGGTGATTGGAAGCTTTTCTGACGCTCACTCACTAGAAATAACCTTTCACGTAGGCGACGCATACTCTTTTGTAACGTATATTCCTTGAATATTGTTGATATAGTTTGGTTCCAAATACCGCTGCAAAACAACGGGGTTCCTTACATCGAGCGCTCTGCTGTTGACACGTGTGGTTACCGGTTTAAAAGTAAATAACTGCGCCCGCTAAGAGCTGTTCAATTTCAAAATAAAACACAGCTGTAGTAATCTGTGTTATTTCATGTAACACAGTTCAAGTCTTTAACAGCCGAAGTGTAAGTAAATTGAACGTACCTGATTGCAACACGAGTTGCTTTGAACTTCATCCATAACCTCCGACGTTTGCAACAGATGCGGTGACAGTACACGACGTGGTTCACATGATGACTGTTTTCAGGACACTGTTTGTTTCAACTCTGCTGATATTAGTTTTAATGCAGACGACAGAAAGTGCGAAGAAGAAAAAAGGCACAAAGAAGAGCGATTTGGTAGAAAGAGAATGTGAAACTTGCCGAAAAATAGTGAAAGGATTTCATGAGGTAAAAATATTGTCTACGTACCGTAATCTATTATTCAAGTAGATGCCGTATTAGTATTTAGGGACGATTAAAAAAAAGTAAAGTGGTAAAATGAATAATATTCGCAGGATTTTAATTTCATGTAGTTCTGGAATTTCAATTCACAGTTACTGTATTACATTTATGTGCAACCAAAGGTAGATAAATATAAAGTATGCAATTCTCAAAGCCACGTATGCTGAGATCTCTTTTCACAGCTTTACCATATAGCATGTCACACTGATGCTTTTTGTTGAAAACCCATGTATTAGTTTATTGAAACGTGTAGAATTTCTCAGAAGGGATTTTACTCATTCAACAGGAAATTAAATAAAGTACAAGAAAACAAACAAAAGTATTAATTTAGATGTTGTTGAAAACCAATCTGATAACATGTATATTGCTTTATATGCTATGTTCACATGACAGCATTCTATCGGAGCCGAACTACTGCTCCTCCCATTGATTAACAGGAGATTATCTCTAATGCGTTCATACGGTTGGGAGCCGAATGAGAGCCGAGATCTACCAGAGTTTGATTCAGTTCGATCAGAGCCGAACGGAATAGTGCCCTCGAATAATTAGTGACTGAAAACGATTTTAGTGTCGTGCTTGTGTTTTTTCTTTACATGGCACGATGCTGTTGAGCTAGGAGAAAAAAAAAAAGTCGCGAGCCTGAGATATGGAGGTAGAAAAGACAATATTATGATTTAGGTACTAGTATCTCGAATAAACAGGAAACACGACAGCTAAAATGCGTTTAATACAGCCTATTTGCTCAAGTTATTGTCATGCAAAATTACCATTTTGTAACTACTCAACTGTAGTAATATCTAAACTATTAGGAAGAATCACAGATTCTCTCTATCTATCATAGAGGGACTATGGAAGAATGTAAACCTACCAGGAACATGTCACTGTACCGCGATCGCTTCTACGATTTGTATCTTTAGTGTCTTTAAAAAAGTTTCCGTTCATTCAAGTTTTTGTCGCATAATTTAGTACGTCATTTTTTTTTTCCCGTTGAGCTATCAATCTATCGCAATAATTTGTTACTATATATTAGGACGCGTACCTCTTCATCAAGCCGGAAATTGCGTGAAATTACGAAAGATGTTGTCTCTGCCATAATTGAAATGAGAGGTTACTCGAAGAAAACGATTGAGGGCGTGATTTCAGCTCCGATAGTTGGGCCCGATGCGTTTACACGATCGGAGCCATGTCGGGACTCAACCCTATCGGAGTTCAACCCCAAGGATTTAGTGGAGTCGAACTTGGCTTGAGCCGACTTGAGCCGAACGCGTTTACACAGCCATTTTTGCTGGCTCGAGCCGTTGGGCTCCGATAAAATGCTGTCGTGTGAACGTAGCAATAGTTACATGCTTAATAACGAGTGGAGTCCTAATCATAATTAATTATATATATATACTGGAAATGTTTTATTTCCCTGTCCCTGTACTATAAGAATGAAAAATGTGAGACATGCTTTTCTAATGCGCAGTTGTTTATGTGCATTAGTATATCTAATGTAAGGTTTGCTTGTTGAAATTTGCTCGCTTGCACTAAAAAATTTTTTTTTTTAAATTGAAATAGTGTACTGTATACATCACCATGGTTACCACACGCTGGTGTTATCAGCTTCAGCAGAATGGGACCCCAAAGCCACGGATCCATACCTTTTATATCTTTCCTAAATCATTAATTAAATGCATCCTCAAATCTGAAAAATAGGAACTGTGCAATCTACAAATTATACCCAAAGTACTTTAAACCACAAGAAGATGCAACTTTTTCCTGACTAATATTTAATTGGCTCCGCTGTCGACTTTGTCGAGCGGAGCTTATCATATGAGTGATTGTCTGGCGACGTCCGTTGTCAGTGTAAACTTTTTACTTTTTCATCTACTTCTTGAAAACTACAAGCCTGAATGCTTTGATACTTGGTGTATATGTACCTTGGATAGACCTCTCTCAGATTTGTTCATTTCATGTCATGATATCTTCAATTCTCTAATTTTGATGAATATTTTTGTCATTTTTGGTAAAAGTGATATTTTCGAATTCTCGTTGAAGACAGTGAGTCTGATTGCTTTTTTACTATACATATAGGTTCCTGAGGTAGACCTCTCTTAGATTTGTCCTTTTCCAAATGATATCTTCAGTTCTTTAATTGAAATGTGCATTGCTAACAGCGGAACTATCTCAGCTGACAGGCTGCTTGTTATTCCGTACAAGCATTTTTTTTATCCCATCTAAATTTAGGAAGGAAATTATTATTCAAAATAGATTCTAAAATGTATAATCTATTTACCGGTAAGCTGTATCTGTATTTATTACGTACGACATGTAGCTGATCATCTATTGTCAAAAATAAATTGCTTGGGAAACCATGGTGCAGTAAATTTGTGAGAAAATTTCTTGTAGTTAATTCGACCTACAAAGTTCTAGTAAGTCTAAGAAAAGAGGGCTACTGCTAATTTTTTTCCCCTGAATACACCTGATAAGTTTATTGTCCGCAAACTTCCCTTACCAAAGGTATGGGTAGAACAAACATTTCTGTAATTTATACCACAATTCAACAGGGAATAAAAGCTACAGAAAAGGGACATTTTGGTGGCGGTAACACAGCATGGGAAGAAAGAGCCTTAGGAAGCTATGCAAACAGGTGAGTGGCAATTATATTGGCAGTGGTGTATATGCATGTCTATTCAGTTACTTGACAATGTGTACAGTGGTGTATATGCATGTCTATTCAGTTATTTGACAATGTGTACAGTGGTGTATAGGCATGTCTATTCAGTTATTTGACAATGTGTACAGTGGTAATCGTTATCACTTGCTTCAAAAATATAAATGCCAAAAAACATTCAAATTACAATATTTGTTTAATATTTATTAGACACAACAGTAACATCACTAAGGTGCATAACAAAATAATGTTAACAAATTAATTAAAAGTTACATGTGCACTTAAAAAAGAAAAAAGAAGTTTAAATCTCTATAGTACACAGAAACAACCAACCTCATGTTTTCTTAGGAAAAAAAAAATAAGATTTAAAGTGTATTCTATTTTGTTAAAATCTAGAATAAATGTTGAAATATAAAGTTGTAATTGATATTCTAAGAAAGTCTTGCTACCTGCGTTTTCCAAACTGCATATGCGATTCCCTTATGACTGGCTTTATTCTGGTCAGCCATTTCTCATTTTCAGTAATATTTACAGTGAAACATGTCTCAATGTTGATGATATACGAAGACTAGGAGTGTGTTAGGAATCAAAGCATATCAAATGTCTATTTGTATCAGTGTTACAAAGGTTTTAATTGTTTAAACAAAAAATTTCAAAAGTTTTTAGAACTGTTTTTAATATTTTTGCCATGATTTGTTGAACAAAAAGGTATAACTAAAGATTTCTATACTCGTTATTACTGTGTCACTGTTATCACCCAATAGGCGTTAAAATATAAGAATGTATTTAACACTCATTGTACAAGATGAAAATGGGTGTTTATAAATTAAATAAAATCTTCTGTCAGATCAGACAATATTATTAAAGTAAAGCTCATCAAGACCAGCAGGGATTGTGAAACTGAAATATTTGTCAAAAAAAAACATTTTCAGTGTGAATGATACTATTTAGGATCTGGTGAAAAAATCGTGTTTCAGAAATCAGGGGAGTGCTGTTTATAGCCTCCATTTTGCATCCCTTTGAAAGTGAGGCAAAGGTAAATAAGTATATTTGTGAGAAGTTTAGAAATATTTAGGATACGAGACAAATTCATCACTGGAATGCCTGTACTTTATTTGGTATGAATTTTAGCCGATTAACGTAAATTTAAGTAGTTCACTCTGACTTACTTGAACTATATTTTAAAATGAAGGAGTATAACTTACAAATTCTATCTTTTGCAGTGAAACAAGGTTTGTTGAAATTACAGAGAAATTATGTACAAGTTCTGAACACGAGGTAAGTTTTGGGTGACTGTTACGAGTACATTTGTATTATTATATACTGTATAATTTACAATTTGAACACATTTGGAGATGAAATGTTTTTAGATTTGTTTTACTAGGATCTGATTCTTTACATCAGTTACCATAGTAATCTTTAAACAAAAACGGTTGTATTTTTGTTGCATCCTGTAAAATAGAAAAAATGGAGTTGCTTTTTAGTAGCTGCAAAGTTCATGATGGAAAGAACTCAGTATCCCAGTTTGTGTACATATAGAGGTTTTCCAAGTGTTGGTGACATTCTTTGTGAAATGCATATTGTATCAAATTGATTTGTATGCACATTTCGGTAATCCACGAACACTGAAGCCATAGATGATTATTCAGATTATTCAGTATTTAATCTGTAGTATCGAGGTGGACGACGTAAACCTCGGCTCACTGTTGATCCTAAAGGAAATGTAGTTGATTCCGAGCTTGACTCGTGGCTTGGTAGTGTTTATTTGGTAAGTCTGAATCGTCAGTCACATGTTATGCCAAGTCAAGTAAATAACACTAAAATGTAATGTATTCACTTGTGTACTACAATAATGTGCATGTCAGTTTTGTGATCAATACTGCTCTTACTGGTAATATAGAAATTATCTTGGCGAGGGCGCTGTTGTTCATTTTGATGTAGATTACCCACTAACTTGTAAAGTTACTTTTTGTCACTTTTCTGTTCACTCTATTAAAATAAAGTGCAATATGTCAAAATTCATTTAAGACTACTGTACTATGAAATTCATTTTTGTTGAAAACCAGATTAAAGTTGATGTAATACATTTTCACTGATTTAGCTGCATGCATGGGAAACAATTTGGGAAAAATATATTATAGTATATTCACTATATTTTCTTTTCAGCAGATTAACTCATTCACCACAAATATATTCCAAGTAAAAAAAATGTTCATACAGTACTGTATTTTTTATGCGTTTGATGACTTTTCAAAATTTGACATGCACGTAGTTTGCATACGTTGTTATGGAAATAGAAATTTATTAGAAGAGTGCCCTCAGTGGCCACTATTGAATGTTACATTGTTTTTCATTGTCATTAAATTAAAACCACAATACAACAACATGAAAATTTATTAGTACTTGTCATTTTTGAATGTAAACTTGTTTTTAAATAATCATTGTAATTTAAAACTTAAAATCGTAAAATAGTATGCATGGAAATTTATTGAAAGGTTGCCTTCAGTGGTTACTATTGAATATAACATTTGCTTTTTTTCCCCCTTACAGTGTAACCGAATGTTCGAAGAGCATGAAGAACTCCTGGAAACATGGTGGAAAGATCGCCAAGAAGATGAGAATAAAAACTTTTTACATCAGTGGTTATGTATCGAAGAAATAAAAGGTGGATTTCTTTTTTTTTTTTACTACCGGTAGTTTCGTTATATTCATGTGCACAAGTTTTTAATATAACTCTGCCAGGCGACATTTCCATACAATGAAGTCACTTCTGCCTATCTTGACGTAAGGTGAACACGATAACCACTGTAAATTGCAATCAGATGCTGATAACAATAACTCTATGGTCTTAAAGACTCAAAATTGCAGCTTACAGTATATCGTAGTTGATGTCAATCAGTTATTCATATGTTAACTAAAATGCATATTATACAATGAAAGACATCCTCTTTAGGATTCCCCCCCCCTCAAGGCAAAACCATTCTTGATGTCTTTGACAATATCCACAGAGAAAACCTGGTCTTTTTTCATTTGACAAACTGATACAATAGTACCCACCAATATACTTCTCATAATCATTGATTATTGTGTTATTTGTTTCAGTTTGTTGCCCAAATAATACGTATGGGTCAGAATGTAAAGGCGAGTATTTTTTTTCTGTTGCTTAGTGAACTTTTTATCAAGTATTTTGATCGGTGGTTTGTTTTAATAAATCCTCTCTGCGTAATAAATTGATTTGAATTTTGTGGAACAGACTTTATTTACATTTGATATCGACCATGAGTTGCCATGGCGTTGTTGATTTAATTCATATAAGCAATGTACGTGTGTTGTTTATGTTGCATGGGACCCATACTTAACACATCATCTGTTGAAAGCCTCTATGAATACTGTAAAATACTTTATTATAGCTGGAAATTATTTTCGCTGAAAAGACTTTTCGGGTGTTTTGTACAAAATTTATTTTCATTGATTTCTGATGAGTTGAATGTAAAATAAAATAAATTATTTTCACTGAATCATTCTATCAGTGAAAATTAATTCCAAGCGAAAATAAAGTATTCTACAGTAGCTGAAATGGATGGGGAAAAAAACGACATCAGCAGGTTATTTGAAATCACTTCAATTCTGGTGACCTGTGAGTGTATATTTTATTGGGATAAAAGTATAAAATGAACGAAATTCATGTCAATAACTATTCACTTTTCTTGTACAGAATGTCCTGGCGGAGTAGAACGTCCGTGTATGGGTAATGGAAAATGTAAGGTAAGTTCTCCCAGGGTAGAAGATTGAATCTGTGTTTAGTTATGGGTATATTTATTGACAGAGAGAAAGAATACTTGGTTCACATCTAAGTGTATATTTACATGATGGCTGTATAGTGTTCACATCTAAGTGTATATTTACATGGAGGCTGTATAGTGTTCACATCTAAGTGTATATTTACATGGAGGCTGTATAGTGTTCACATCTAAGTGTATATTTACAAGGTGGCTGTATAGTGTTCACATCTATGTGTATATTTACAAGGTGGCTG